CTCATCTTCTTCTCTCTTCGGGGTAGCTGCGCTTAGAGAAACATAAACATTTCCATTCCATTTGATTTTGTGTAGAAAAGGGAAGTGATTTTCCAAAGATGAATCAAAATGTGGAAGTTAGAAACTTTGCTTCAAATGTAGCAAATGTAATGAACAGTGAAATATGCAATAAAGCATTGTCAATTTTGAACGTTTAAGCCTAAATTTAAAACAAAATGCGCTTCAAATCCCTCCTAGCATGACTGTTTATAAAATAGGTTAGTTTTGAGTACTATGTTAATTACTTGATACAATGAGATCACAAGAAGCAGTCATAGGGCCAACATTTTGACATCAAATACTCGTTCTCCGAAGTCCAGTATTAGTAATTTCCCAGTATATTGTTTGGACCTTGATATACGAATTCATAGCCATGTATATTGTTCTCTTTCAGATAACTAAGCCTTTTTTACACTCCATATAAATTTGAAAGCAATACCACAAATTGACATGAGAGAAGCAGGCAATCCAATTTTTAAATAGTTTTTTTTCATCTTCATCATCTTCATTAAGTTGTGTATAATAAGAAATACTTGCAACATTTCAAAATAGGCTGAACTGCTTCTCATTAATAAGTTTCGCTTAACTGATCAGCAGCAAATACCTAGTGCGCGATCGGATGTGTCTTGCCCGCATTACGCGACGTACAGAAAATTGGTGGAATAGAACGTAAATATAACAAACATAAGATTTCTCAATTGTATAACACTGGTCCAATGGATACTTGTTGAATTTGATTTTTTGAACCGGATGGAATCTCTTATCGGTGATACAAAATGTGCAACCCTTTCTAGAAGTAGAATAAAAACACGTAAAGATGGCCCACAAGTACCTGAAAACATCCATTTCATACGATATTCATTATTGATCTCGTTGTTCTGTCACCTTGTACTATTTTTATTGGGTTTCCCGCTAACTCTCTTGCGTGTATTCTTTGTGTAGGTGACTGCTATGATAGTACAACAGTAGCACAACATAAGGTTCCTCAAAGAATAGTTGGTTTATCAAGGGAATGTTGAATTTAACCGTTCATTGCAATATGGTTTCACAACAAAAAAAAAACGATAAAATGGCAGCGCCAAGACAGCTGATGAGGAAAGGAGTTGTAGAAAAAGCATTACATAAACGGCTATACAATGCAGCGTCAATCAAATGCATGGTAAATTACACATTACATATTGATAAAGCAATACTAGGGACATTCTTCAGATTTCTTTTCACTTGACGTATTGCTGCTTTAAGCGAGAACGCATTAGACGTTCAATTAATACAGAAGATGCCATTTTGGATATACCGAAGACTAGGCGCATTGACAAATGCCTTCAAAGTTCGCAGTTCGTCCATTTGAAAGTTTGATGATTGAGCTAGAATGCAAGAGATTAATCAAGCTTTGAACATTTCACTCACATCGGCGTTAATGTGCGACCTGTAAGAATGAATATACAGTAGTTAGCAGAAAAAATATGTTTTACAGCTAAGAATATGGGTGTTTTCTTGAAATTAAGCTCCATTTTTCAGCTAAAACTTGAAATTTAATTTTTAAAAGTACAAGAACTGAGCAAACACGTTTGCTGAAATCAAATACACCTTTTGAAATATTCATGTTTTCTGCAGGATGGATAAATAAGTACATACACTATCAACATTGCAGAGTGTACCTCATCAAGTCGAACTAATTTTAGAATCAACTATAATCTTGGACTCGTTCATCAAGCTATGGGTCTTCATTGCTCTGCTCTACACTTTCTTAAGGCAGCTTCCGAGCTGAAGAGAGATGATGCACAAATAATTGGCGCGATGGCAGGTGATGAGATTGTTACGATTGACTTCATATGCAAATAGATATAATTACAGGAATATCTTATTTCAGTTGTTTTATCCAACATGAATGATATAAACAACGCTCGCCGCGCTTATCAAAAGTCAATTTCGTTAGACCCAAAG